TCATTTGAATATTCGTTACTGCGACATTAAATTATTTGTCGGTGGTTCTAGTAGAGGAAGAATTTCTGATGGAATTTTTGAATAATAGCTCCATTTTGATAAATGCGATCAGTGGGAGTGGCTTTTTTAATTTCGATAGGTTTCTTATGAATAGTTCGTGAGCGGAGTTCCAGCTCATGAAGTTTATGAGTTTCAGTCGCGGTATCGGGCATAGTTTGGTTTACAGTTTTGGGGATTTGATCAATTGTGGTCTCCTTGATGCTATTAAGTTCGAGCGGAAAGAGTTTGCTAATGGGCATCAGGAGATCCTTGCCATTAGAGCGTACCCATGCAGAACGAACTTGATGTTCCGTTCCCATCGCGATTCGAACGATTCTGCCTAGATTCCATATCCCACGTGGTTTGCTTTTGTCTTCGATAATTACGATTTCGTTTTGCTGCGGTTCGATTGCAGAAGTTCCTTTCCGTTGCGGATGAGTTCGCTGCGTTCGTTCACGTAGTGTGTGCAGGTAGTCATTTCTCCATTCCAGCCAAAATCTTTCAAGTTTTTCCATGGCATTATTCCAGTAGTTTGTTATGAGATCAGCTGAGTCAAGTTGGTTGGACAGATATTCAGGATCGTCTTTTGCTCCCAATTCAGAATTTGGAATGGTACTCAGTTCCGCTTTAGGGTACAGGAAATCAATCGGTCGGATAACTGTTATAGGCTCTGCCGTGACCGAGACTAAGGGCCGTGAATTTACTACTAGGGCAATTTCTGCTACCAACGAGGTTAACTCCTCGTCTGTGACCTTCTTTTTTCCAATAACTTTGCGCATTGCGTTCTTGGTTATGCCCACCATTCTTTCGTAAATTCCACCTTGCCAGGCGGCATGTGGTGTGATGAATTTCCACTGAAGACCTCGTTGGGCAAAACCGAGCTGTTTCATCACCTTGTGAGCCAGTTTGAAATTCGTTCCATTGTCAGAAAGGATATGTTCAGGCATGGTAAAACGAGCAACAAATCTGCGGAAGCAGTGGACGAAAGCTTGTGCTGATAAGTCCTGGGCTACTTCTAAGTGTATTGCTCTTGTTGTCAGGCAAGTGAATAGTGCTATCCAGCGTTTGCTGTCACTGTGGGTAGCATTTCGCACCCAGAGGGGACCGAAATAGTCCAATCCGGTATATTGGAAGGGTCTGTGTTGATGAACTCTAGGGTCAGGATAATTTGGCATGGGAGGTAACTTAAAAGGGGAAGCGCGCCATCGCCGGCACGTCATGCATCCAGATATAAGAATCCTACGAACCGTTGCTCTTCCTTTTGGAATCCAGTAGATCCGTCGCATTTCGTTGAGACATTGGCTGACGCCGGTGTGTGCTAAGGTAGTGTGCGTGTGAAGCACTAGAAGATCAGTGATTCGACATTTGCGTGGGAGATATATGAGGCCACTAGGCAATCTTCCGGCGCATCGGAGAATGCCATTTTGATCTGGATAGAGTTCCCATCTGTGGCGTTCTTCTGATTTTTGATCTTCTGACTGTGCCTGTCTTAGGATGACTCTTACGGCAATGTCGTAATCATCCGCGTTAAATGAGCCACCTCTTGAGAATTCATTCAACCATTGTGGCTTGTGACCAATTTGGCGTAAGAAACGCAGGACCCATGCCACTGTTTCCAATAGTTTCGTCCATTCACTGAATTTGGAGGCGTCCACTAGGTGAATTGCATTAAACGTTTCAGCTTGATGTTTCACGTTTGCAACGGCAGCATATGTTGTTCCTTGCTGAGTGTCTAGTGACGTTTGTTGGATATGTTCCGCTTGTGCGTGTGTGTGAAGAACATCGTCGGTAAGCTGAGTTACTGGATATTGTGGTGGCCATTCAGTTTCCTGTCTGATAAGCCACGGCGGTCCATGCCACCATTGCGTGTTACGTTTGAGCTCGACTGCTATGGTTCCTCTTGTTGCCAAATCTGCCGGGTTATCTTCTGAGCGTACGTGACCAAATAAGGTGTCAACATTACGGCGAATTTCGTCGAGTCGATTTTTTATGAACCTTGGGTATTTCTCTGGATTTTTGTTAGTTATCCATGCGAGCACACATTTGCTGTCGGTCCACAGATGCTTCTTGATGACGATGCCCTGTAGCTGACTCTCCAGGAAGTTCAATGCACGGGTGCCGATCAGCACGCCTAGTAATTCGAGTTGTGGTATTGTGAGTCCTTTTATTGGTGCTAATCGACCCTTGACATATAGTAAGGACGAAGTATTTGTTTCTTGGGAGTTATCGAAGGCATACACGGTAGCGGCATATGCTTGTGCTGAGGCATCGGTGAACACGTGAAGCTGGATACGATGCATTTGTAAAGGCCTTGGCACGTTGAAAGTAGTCATTGCCCAATCTTTAATTAAGTTTTGCCAAGTATGCTTATCGACTTCTTTTAATTCCTCATCCCATGAGTATCCGGTTTTCCATAATTGCTGAAGGAAGATTTTAAAGCGTAGGTATAGCGGCAAGAGCATTCCAAGAGGATCAAATTGTGAAGCTACGAACTGCAAAATGGATCGTTTTGTAACGTTGCGGGTGTTGCAGGATCTGGTAACGAACTGCAGCTCATCTTCAGTAGTCTGCCAGCGTATTCCCATCACTGTAATTGATTCATTCCCATGCTGATCCGAACTTGGTATAAATTGATTGACTGCAGCACTGTTGGACTTAAATTCTCGTAAATTCATTTTTGCTTCTGAGAATAATTGTTTCGCTTCATTATAACACCTTTTCATACTTTCTTCGTCATTTGTCCCGATCATAACGTTATCGACATAAGTATTTTTCACAATATGTTGAGCTAAATATGACTGAGATTGAGTGAGATGATGACGAATCACTGCTGCTAACAGAAAAGGTGAGCTAATTATTCCGAAGGGGACACGCTTGAAACGGTATGTGGTGATGCGGTTGTCCGCGCAAATTGGTTTTGAGGGATCATCGATCCATAAGAAGCGAGTAGCATCTCTGTCGGCCTCATTGAGGGCGATTTGTAAAAACGCCTTTTCAATGTCGGCGACCATGATAATGGGATGCATGCGTAGTCTTAACAATATTCCAACTAGGTCAGGTAAAAAAACAGGACCACGATAAAGATTATCGTTCAGTGAGTTGTGTTTTTTGACACTTGCGCTTGCATCAAAGACTATACGGATTTTAGTCGTTTCCTTATGAGGCGTTTCAACGTATTGATGAGGAATGTAGTTAACATTTGGACCGGTCCCATGTGTCGGAATTTTTTCGATAATGCCCATTTCAAGTTGTTGTGCGATGTTTTCTCGGTATTTCAACATCAACCCTGAGTTTGCTCGAAGACGTTTAAGTAATGATTGAAGACGTCCAATGCATAGGCCAAAGTTGTCTGAAAGAAGTGGTCGGTCTGTTTTCCACGGCCAACCCACTGAATACCGTCCATTCTCGTCGCGTTTTACGGTGCTTTCAAATATTTGCATTGCCTTCTGATCATCTTCTTCTTCTTGAGATGGAGGAACAACTCCCATACTTTCCAGTGACCAAAACTGATTCACGTCTATTAGCGTAGAATATGCAACAACCGCTCCAGATTGCGCTTCATGCTGTTCATGAGATTGATTGTGTTGCTGCTGCAATAGTGGTCCTTCCCCTGCTAACATCGGTCCTATGCTAGATTGAATTATGTAAAAGGCATGTGATAAGTGACGCGTAGGAGATCGACCCACGAATTCGTAGAAATAGTCGGCACCGATGATCACATCCGGATGTCGTACTATCTGATGTAGGTCAGAGACGCATTTGTAGTTGTTAATCAAATCANTGATCACATCCGGATGTCGTACTATCTGATGTAGGTCAGAGACGCATTTGTAGTTGTTAATCAAATCATAAGCGATTCGTTTCGACAACGGCACTTGTGGTATTGTTCGCATTAGAAACGGGATGGCATTGACGTGAAGTTTCGTAAGGCGACCGTTAAGGAGCGGAATACCGAGTTCCATCTGGGCAGACTTGTATGTGTTCGTGTTTTGTTGTCCAAAGCCCGCTACGGAGAGGTCGCATGTGCCAATCTCTTCCAGTTGCAAATCTTGAGCCAATTTTTCAGTAATGAACGATCTTTGACAACCAACGTCGAAGAAGATATTCGCGATTAATCTTTTTTGTGGTTCTCTAGGATTTATGACAGTAGCTGATTTGCATAGAAGAAGTACTGTATTCTTTGTAGAATTATTTGAAGCTGGTGCAATGGCAACACTGCCGGTAATCTCTGCAGACTGATTTGTTTCACTGATAGCAGCTGACTGAATTTCGTGGGGTCTCTCTTGAGCTCTGTTTGAGCTCGATTTATCTTGAGTATTATTGTAGCAAAATGCGCTATTATGAGCTCGTTTGCAATGAAAGCATTTAACGTTTCTTTTGCATTGTCGTGCGAAGTGCCTCTCTTCTAAGCACTT